CTCTTTGATCAGGGTTGAACGCCCTAACCACTGACCCCACAATCTTACTGTCTTCCTAGGTTAGGTCGAGGGATATTTAAACTCTTTGACGTAGTTCTCTTTAGTATTCAATCGTCCAAACGAAAAAGAAGTTGGTCCGCACTTCAACCGTGGCATGGTCTTTCTAGCTTTTGTATTGCTAACATCGGATATTACCCGCTTTTGTTCATTCGAAAAAGTCAGTCGTCTAAAAAGCACAGTCTGCTCCTCTAATAAATGTGAAGACCATTCTTTTATCTCCCTTTCTTTCCTTTAAAGGAGAGGAAAAAGCATGTGCCTTTGTAGTCGACCCTTACACGGTGTGAATACCAGGCCACTGACTAGTTTGGTCGCCATTCCTTGAATGTAATCTTGCTTCATCCAGGGGCACCACGCTTTAACACAGTATTATAACACCAGCCAATAAATTACTCTTGATCTAATCGTATCACCTTTCTGTAACAAGTCTATAGTGGGATGACTTGGCAGTTGTTAGAATAAAGGCTATGCGGCCATTCATTGCTATCATTTTGCAAGCGATCCAAGTCATTTTGTAGAGTCTGTGTCCTCCGAACTTTCGATCGAGTTCTACGCCTTCACCTCATTAGCAAACATAGGGGATCAAAGCAGTAGTTTACGTATAACATAAATAGATTTGGCCTAGAATACTTTCCTGCGGAACCACACAGGAAACGGTTTTCCATTCCAAGTTGGTATCTCTAGTATAAACACACTGACGCCTGTGCGTCGCTTACCTTTTGAGTACTGGGCTAACCACACCCATTTAATGCGGCTTCAAACCATGACTCTAATGCATGCAGGTCAGAGATCTAGCCGTCTGTATTTAATCTTTACCAAAGGTGAGGAAGGCGTTGATGAAATAAATGTAGACCCACCCCTGGGTTATTATGATCATATGACATTAATGTGGGTATTAATAGTCGTAGCTGCCCCCGGACGAAGCTCAAAGCCTTTAAGAAATATCTGGTGGGCTAACTTTGAGGCAATGGAATTGACGATTGAATGCACAAGATGGGCGGAATTATTCCGAAGAAGCGCCAATGAATGTAAGACTACCTTTGAATTAGAAATGAAAAGCTTGATCGAAAAATATTGTCCTTCCAAGAAACATTCGTCCGTCAACAGACCAAAATGTCTGGCAAAAGCGGTAAAAGGTGATTTGCAAAAGCGCAAGCTGCGGAATTTATTTCTACAAAC